ACAGTCTCCCATGACTCCCCAGTGCTCCACAGGGATCCACAACCCAGTATCTTAAAAAACCCTGCTCCATGTGGGCCTATTTCTGAAATAGTACTCCACTCAGTTGACAAAGGGCCTCTGGCTGACGGCTGCAGGGTCTTTTGTCCTTGCAGGGCAATAAACCCTCTTCCCACAGTACTCGGGGGAGGGGGCTGCTTTCTCGCAGTGTGCCCCTAAGAATGCTACCAAGCCTGGGGTTGGGTCACCTCCACTCCCACCTCCAGGTACATGCACCAGCACATATGCACTCTCTTTACCACATCCAAATGAACAAAATTAACCCAAACCATATTCAATTTTTCATGACTTCCTCAAAATATCTGTTATTTGTTCAAGTCTGGACTTAAGAATGTTCCACACTTTGAATCTGGTTAAGTCACCTTAAGTCTCTTTTGAACTACAACAGTTCCCCATATTTCTCCCTCCTTACCATGCCACTCATTTATTGAAGGAACTTGGTTATTTGTCCTGTAGAATTTTTCACATTGATTTGGCCAATTGTGACCTTCACTATACAACTTATAGGTTTTTTAATTATTTTATTTCCTACAAATTGGTAATTAGATCTAGAGGTTAAATTAGATTAAGGTTCAGTGTTGGGAAATATAACTTAGGTAGTATATTCTACTTCCTATGGCATCACAAGAGGAGGTATATTAATACCATATTGTTCCAATTTAGTGTTGCTAAGATTGGCTAACTAAAGTGTTGTCAACCTTATTGTTACCTTCTGAAATTCCCAATCACCCATTTATTATGAATTGTTGCCAATTCCATTATTTTAGTAAATAAAGCTAACTGTAGCTAAGTCTGTCATTATTTCTGAATATATTAACTAATTCTTTTATAATAAAATCTCCTCTTGCCAACTACTTGATTACAACTTGTACAGAAAATCATGATAAATACTTTGTTCTGTTCCTTATCAAAATTTCAGAATGTGCTAGTACACAAATTCTATAAAGGGCTATCATTTTTTTTTTCATTTTGAATTTAGGCAGTTTTACCTACACAGTTTCAACCCATTCCAAAAGTTTTCAATGCTTAAATCATCCTATTTCTTTCCTCAGTTCCTTTAGGTTGATGATCCTGTAGTCTTTGATAGCTTTATTGCTTTTAAGTACAATAAGACTTTTTATGATAATCATATATACATTTTCTACCGTTGATCTGTCTTATGCTATTTCTCTAAGGAGCACTTGTTTCTTTTTATAGAAAATGGAATTTGAAAACTACAGTCTGGATCCATGGGGGGACTCAGTAATTCCATGTCACTAATGCTTTTTTTTTTTTAATTTTTTTTTTAATGTTTTATTTATTTCTAGGAGAGAGACAGCATGAGTAGGGGAGGGTCAGAGAGAGAGGGAGTCACAGACTCTGAAACAGGCTCCAGGCTCTGAGCTGGCAGTCAGCACAGAGCCCGACGCGGGGCTCGAACCCACGAACCGTGAGATCATGACCTAAGCGAAAGTCGGACGCTTAACCAACTAAGCCACCCAGGCGCCCCACTAATGCTTTTAAACCCCTCAGTAGGGGCATCTGGCTAAGTTGGTAGAGCAGGCAACTCTCAATCTTAGAGTCATGAGTCGAAGCTCTACATCGGACATGGAGACTACTAAAAAAAAAAAAAAGCCTTAGGCAGAAAAATACCAATATTACCATTAACAAAAGGAGTAAAGGCAGTTTATCTTTACATTTCTCTTTGTGCTTGAGTACAGAACATCCTTTAGATATTCTCCTAATAGTAACTCAAGACATTTTAACACCACTTGAAATTATTATCCTTTATGTTGTTATGCTACAAAATGATGTAGGCTTGAATTCACTGGTTTTGATATATGTTTGTTATTTTCCTTTTTGACTTAATTCTTAAAATAAAAGCTGACATATAAAGTATCTACATGGATAAAGTCAAAACAAAAAACAATGTATAACCAAAGATAACTATCTTTCATTCTTGCTCTCTCCTGTTGTTTCATCTTGAGATTTCTTTTTCAAAATACAGGCATATATAGTATCCCCCTCTTCTTTCACATATATTAGCATATTATACATATCATTCTGTACTTACCTCTTTTTCATTTAACATACCCTGAAGATCATTCCCTAGAAGAACACAGATGCACAACACTCCACTATACTTTCATGTGATAATTAATCCAGCCCGTCTATTGCTGGACATCTAGGTTGTTTCCAATTTGCTGTATTTACAAATAGTGGTGTTTTTTTTTTTAAACAAACTCCTTAGTGTATACCACATTTTATAATTTTACCAGTGTATCTTTGGGATAGAAACAAGGGTGCTGGTCTTATGGTAAATGAATGAGACCACACCTGGACATTGCTTAATTACCTCCTATATGAATTGTACTATGTATTTTTTTTCGTTTTCATCAGCAATTCCAGAGCTCTTGTTTTTCCACAGCCTTGACAATAGAGTCTTGACAATTAATACCCTTTAGGATTTTGGTCCATCTGATAGGGATGAAATGGTATCTCAGTGTAGTGTAACTTCCATTCTCAAGTCAAGTTTTAAATTCTTTAAGGATATTACTCTGTAATATAGTTGCAAATATTACCAATTTTTCATTGTCCTTTAACATTTAGTCCTATAAAAATTATTTATTTATTTTTCTTTATTTCTACTGGGTTTTTGAGTCATACTTATTGATATCTCCATTCCAGGGTTATGAAGGAATTCACTCATGTAGTATTTGTAAAGTTTCTTTCTGTTTTGTTTTCATTTTTTGCATTTAGATATCTGGATTTATTAGGAATCCATCCTACTTTACACTGGCAGGGAAGAAACTGATTTTTTCCCATAAATTTTATCCAATTTTGCTAATACTAATGATTAAAAAATTATTTCCCAAAATGATTCTAGCAGAATGGTTCCTGCAAAGAAAGCCGGTTAGGGAAAAGACTAAGGAATGTTCTGTCATCTCTGTGGCAGTCTAGAGAAGATATTATCAAATTCACAGATATACCAATGGAAAGGGGTTCAAAAAACATGTACCTCAGGTATTTAAGGAGATCCAGGAATTCACAATGAAGGAGACGGGAGCACCAGATATGCACGCTGATACTAAACTTGACACAGAAGTCTAAGCCAAAAGGAAAAGGAATGGCCATAATTATCTGTATACGAATGTCCAGAAAGTTTTTAAATTTCTCAGTGTAATCATCACCTTAACAAAAACAGCATGAATGAAAATGGCTAGTTTATTACAATAAATATATAATTTTTTTTCATTTTCCCCACGTGAGTTGAGAAATTCCACAGAAGATAATAATTTTTGAGGGAACCATGTTCCCTAATACTGTTTAACTATTATTAAAGAACTGAATTATAAATGTGCTACATACATAAACTCAATATTCTTTAACTTATGTAATACTAAAAGGCACCAAGAAAATACTCTTAGAATAAATTAAGGGCTGAAACTGGTAAGGTACATCTTCATCAATGATATCTTGCTGTTATGCATAAATTACAGAATTATCGCTTATCCAGGTCAGAGTTTAAACATTCTGGGCAAACATCATTTGACTATTGTATTAGTTTTTGTTTTTAGAGAGAGAGCAAGAGGCAGAAAGAGAGGGAGGAGAATCCCAAGCAGGCTCCTCACTGTCTGCACAAAGCATGATGTGGGGCTTAAACTTAGAAACTGTGAGATCATGACCTCAGCCAGTCAGATGCTTAACTGACTGAGCCACCCTGGGTGCCCCTGTATTAATGTTTTTCATGTATGTTCATGAGTGAAATTCTTCTGGAATTTGTTGTTCAAAGGCTACTGCACATTTAATTTTGTTCAGAATTATGTTAGTCTTTTAGCATCTGCTGGCAATTTTTCCATAGGTTTTTTTTTTTGTTTCTTCAGGGGGCAGCCTGTACAATTACCTACTTCTATATGAGTTATAAAGATTATTTTTTCCAACTGTTAAATTTTTGGGCCCCTTTTAGTTACCTTTGAGATTTAATAAACTATTTTCCTAGAAAACAAACTATACTCTATTTAAAAATTGTTTCTAGTAAGGTTTATATCTCTTTATATGACCATTAAAAATACTCTCTAAAACACGTATCACAATTCTTTATCATAATGTGAAGGCATTGCCAAAGTCTAGAAATAATAGTTTTCTTCCAAGAAACATTTTGACTTAAAATAAAAAGTCTTCTGTATTGTTTTTTATTCCATGATTTTTGCTTTATTTTCATTAAAGCTTTCCATCAATTCAGAGGCACCTGGGTGGCTTAGTCAGTTAAGCATCTGACTCTTGATCTTGGCTCAGGTCATGATCCCATGGTTTGTGAGTTTAACTCTCATGTTGGGCTCTGCTCTGGCAGTGCAAAGCCTGCTTGGGATTTTTTCTCTCTCCCACTCTCTCTGTCCCTCCTCTGCTCACACACATACTCTCTCATAATAAATAAATAAATAAACATTACAAAATTAAAAGAAAAACTTTCAATCAATTCAAATTCAAATCCCCATTGGGGCATTAGCTCCTCTTTAGCTTGTTTAGTTAAATAATCGTTATTTAACTTGACAAATACTTGGACTCCACAATATGACAGGCACTGTCAGAAGTGCTGGAGATACAGTGGTGACAAGAAGTAAAATTCCCTCAGTTTTGTTATATACAAAAGAGTAATTTCCATTGAGAACTGCCAAGGTTTTGTTCATAGGATTTGATATATAGGAGTTTTGTTATCATTCACATCTAAATAGCTTGTAATTTCACTTTTGACTTGCTCATTACTTTGATAATGTATACATGTAGTATTAAATTTCCAAGAAGTCAGAATTCATTTGGCTATTTTCTAATTTCTAAATTTCAGGCGCACCTGGGTGGCTCAGTTAGTTAAGCGTCTGACTCTTAATTTTGACTCATGATCTCACAGTTCATGAAACTGAGCCCCACATCCGACTCTTGCTGACAGCATGGAGCCTGCTTGAGATTCTTTCTGCCTCTCCTCTATTCACGCTTTCTCTCTCAAAATAAATAAACTTAAAAAAATAAACTTTCATTGTGGTGATAAAGTGAGTATGACGTTTGGGTTTAGAACACTGTTAGGGACAAATCATTTCCAAACGCCTTTAAAAACAAAACATAAAACATTGCTGAGCATTCAACAACTCCACTTTCATTAAAACCATAATGCTTTCTTTATAGTATGAATTTTTTTGATGCAGCAAATGAATTTAATACTGATTCAAAGCTTTCTTCCCTTCATTCTGTTTTACTAGTTTTTCTTCAGAATTAGCATCCTGCTGTTTAATAAGACACATAAAGATGGCTTATTTGTCTGTATTTGTTACATTGTTAAGGTTTTCCTCTGATAGAAATGGTCTAATACTAATATTAATGATGGTCATTAATTAAGTCATCAAGCTCATTTAACCATTATAATCAAATAAGCAAACACAGATTTAAGTTACTTTCCACAAAACACAGAGATGTGTCGAAACTAAAATATGCCAAATAAGAAGTATGACATAGCTCAAGGGTTTCCAAGATTAATTACATAACAGAAATTCACCTTTGGTATAATTTTGTAGAAGCATAACAAAATTTAATAGTGATGGAAAGTTTCCCTTTTTATGAGTTAGATTTAAATTATATGCAGAGTAATATCAATGATGTGGGGAATGCTTTTAAGAATGATTCAAGAGAATCACAGTGTCATCTTATTCATAGGATTTTACCCTGATATTCCAAATGGAAAACCAATCAGTAAATGCTTTCCAGTATTAATATAGATTCCATCTGAATTCTCTGCTAGTGTGTTGTGTGCTCTGTCAAAGATTCTTCCAATATTACTTACATTTGTGGGGTTTCTCAAAAGAAGGATTTAACTGACACTAATTAATGAATCATGAATAAAGACTTCCTATATTTTTATATCATAAGACCTCACAAAAGTGAAATAAGTTGAGAGCTTGGAGAAAATGTCTCAAAATTTTTGTATTCATAGGATTTCTCAAAAGTGTAAATATCCTGGTGTTGAGCAAAGCCTGAGTCCTGACTAAAGGTGTTCCTATAGTCTTTCCATTGATAGAGATTCTCACCATTGTGAATTTTCTGTTCAGTAAAATACGGATGGGGACTAAAGATCTGGCTACTTTCTTTACATTCATAGGATTCTACATCAGTATGAATTTTCTTATGTCGTGTAAGCTGTGAACCCCAGATAAAAGACTTCCCACATTCTTTACATACATAAGGTTCCTCACCAGTATGTATTCTCTGATGTCGAGTAAGTTGTGAACCCCAGAGAAAGGATTTTCCACATTCTTTACATTTATATGGTCTCTTTCCAGTATGGATTTTCTGATGTCGATTAAGTTCTGAACCACGCATAAAGGTCTTTCCACATTCCTTACATTTATAGTTTCTTTCACCAGTATGAATTTTTTGATGTCGATTAAACTCTGAGCCATGAATAAAGGTCTTTCTACATTCCTTACATTCATAGAGTTTTCTCTCATTATGAATTTTCTCATGTTGAGCAAGATAGGAGGCCCAAATAAATGTCTTCCCACATTGCTTACATTCATAAGGTTTCCTACCAGTATGAATTCGTTGATGTCGAGCAAGATGTGAACTCCAGATATAGGCTTTTCCACATTTCTCACATTCATAGGGTTTCCTACCAACATGAACATTCTGATGTTGAGCAAGATTTGAACCACGAATAAAGGCTTTTCCACATTCCTTACATTCATGAGATTTCTCACTAGTATGAGTTCTCTGATGTTGAGTTAGGTGTGAACCACGAGTAAACGCTTTCCCACATTGCTTACATTCATAAGGTTTTTCACCAGTGTGAATTCTCTGATGCTTAGTAAGATGTGATCGCTGACTAAAGGCCTTTCTACATTCATTACATTCATAAGGTTTTTCACCAGTATGAATTCTCTGATGTCGTGTAAGATCTGAGCCACAACTAAAGGCTTTCCCACATTCTTTACATTCATAAGATTTCTCACCAGTATGAATACGCTTATGGACACTAAGTTGTGAATGAAATCTAAAGGCCTTCCCACATTCCTTACATTTAAAAGGTTTTTCACCAGTATGAATTCTCCTGTGACCAGTAAGACTTGAACGCAAACTAAAAGCCTTTCCACATTCTTTACATTCATATGTTTTCTTGGCAGAGTGTACTGTCTGATATTGAGTAAGTTCTGAATCAGGAAGAAAGGTCTTCTCATATTCCTTATCTTCACAAAATTTCTCAGCAGTGTGAATTAACTGATGTTGATCACAGTCGGAGCCAGAACAAAAGGCTTCCGCACACTCTTTAAATTCATTCAGTTTCTTTCCTGTATGATGGTTAAAAGTGGACATTTTTTCATAGGTGAGTATATTCTGCCTTAAACGTTCTTCCTGATTTTCCTGTTGTGTTCCAAATTGACCTTTGCTTTCCCAATCAGCCCTAAAACATGAATATTCAAGGCTGTGTTTTTTACAAATTTCCAATTGAGATAATTCTCTCTCAAAAGTAGTATTTTTTTGTGATAACTCCTTGGTCTGACATCTGGACTGTACATCTGAAAGATAAGAAGATAAATTCATACTGTTTTACTGTTCAAAAAGAAATAAAACTTCCAATATAGATATAAAAAGTAAATCTTAAAATACATAAAGCACACAAGAAGTGAATGGCTTAAGAAATTCTCAAATTCTGGGTGATATGAAAATAAGGCAAAAAATAAATGGGCAAATATGGGACCCCCAAAACACAGCACAAACATGAAAGAAATAATGACCCTACTACATTTTTACTCTGTATCACTCTCAAATTTTTCTCACTTTCATTTAGATTCCAGGTCCTTAACTCTTTGTACATCTTTTCTTGGTGAAACCTAACTTGCTGCTTAGCCTGAGCCTGAACTAAACAAGTGAACATAGCTGGAAAAAATAAAATAATAAATAAAATAAAAAATAAAATAAAATAGTGCCTACTAGACAATGAGAAACAATGAAATCTGGCCATGTGTAGCAACATGGATGGACCTTGAGGGTGTTATGCTGAGCGAAATAAGTCAGGCAGAGAAGGACAAATACCA